TCTTATACTTAGAAATTCTAACATTATCGCCAATTGCAAACTTTGCTTTACCTGGTTTCAAGTAGATTAAATCGCCGTATAAATTAGACCAAACTTTACTTTCATTTTTCTTTTTACTTGCTTCAACAGGAGTCATTTTTATACTAGAATGTCTTGCATTATTGTAATCATCAACTAGTTTATCTATCTTATCCCAGTAAATAGTGTTGTTATTCACAGTAAACATCTTCCACATTCTGTTTTTCATTGTTTTATTCCATCTCTCAACAACACTAGATTTCTCCTCGTTTTCAGTGTGATACAACCTAATTCCTTTACTTTTCAGAAAATCCTTGAAATGTTTGCTTATAAATTCGGAACCTTTATCAGTCCATAACATTTGTGGTTTACGTTTACTTTTCAATATGTCATCGAATGCTTTACTAACAGTTTCGGTTTTTTTATCTTTCAAACCTCTAATCCATCCATACTTGCTAAACACATCAATAACCATTAGAAGATACTTCACCCCTTTATTCCACCTACTAAACTTTTGCATTTCAACTAAATCAGCAGCCCAAATATCATCAATTCCGTTTGAGACTACTGATCTCTTTTGAAAGTTTCGTGTGATTGGTTTGTGAAGTTCGTCGGCTAATTGTTGAGACCAATCACTATCTTGCGCAAAATTGCGCCTCAACGCCGCTTTACGTTTTTTGTCCCCATTCCAAGTTTTTGTTTGGTATTTATTATTGTTCTAGCCAAAGTATGCCCCCATTGTCTTTCTTTCCAAGGAATTGAATCCAACGATTTTACCATCTTTCTATCAGCTTTATTTTTACACTTTCGGTCATCACCACAAACACTATAATCAACATCATGTTGCATGGCTACGGCATCCGTTGGTCCGGTAGGTTGATCGTAAATTTCTAATATTTCACCTGTTTCAGGATCGTATCTTACTTGGTTCTCAAGATCATTATAAGGACCTGTATATTTATGTCCCGGCAAGGTCCATCCTCCTTTTGGTTTTGGCAATTTACCAATTTGCTTGTGGATATCTATAGCTCCGCCCGCCTTCTCTGACGGGCTTACTAGTTTTTTTTAACGTATCTTACTTTTTTAATTCCACAAACTGCACAATGACAAAAGAATTGAGTTCTTCCTCTTTTATCTTGTTGGTAACCACTTGGCTCTATGCAAGGAGTTACTCTTTTATCTTTAATGCAATATGATTCCATCATTTTATATAATGTTTAGATAAAAATGTCTACCAGATCTAATTTTCTTAAAAGTGAACTTCAAAAGATATACAATAACCTAAACATGAGTTATGAATACGCTGATTTATCTAGATTGGAAAATGACACCAGATTTGTAAAAGTATTTGAGTTGATTATGGAAATAAGTGAAAAATCAAATACGCTTAAAAATTTAGTAAAAGGAAATTATATGTTTGTATAATTATATAATAAAAAATGGAAGCCAAATTCTTTACCGAGATAAAGAAAAAAATGAATGTTAAAACTCTCAAGGATTTTGAGAAAGAATTAAGGACAAAAATAAATCATGAGTTTGAGACTCTAAGAGCAAAAAATGACGATCTTTCTAGAATTCTTATGGCTGGTGAAAGAGAGATGTGGGAAAAGATTATAAACGGGGAGTACTCTTGGTTGAATATAAAATTAGACAAAAATAAAAAACTTAGACGTCTTATAGACATTTACTCAGAATTTGATGATGTGGTTGAAAGTGTTAAATTTTTAAATAAAAAAGTTGATAGACTTAAACAGCTAAAGAATGCACCGGACGATGCCCCTATTGACGAAAAAGACGCGGATTCGGAAGAGGAAGAAGAAGGACAGTAGGTTTAAAAATAATATTTATTAAATATTATTTTTTTTTACCTATCCTCCGAAATATTTTTTTATAAAATCGCTGTTGTCGTTATCAAAATGAGGGTTATGTATTATATCTAAAATACTATTACCTCGTTGTCGTTCTAATAAATAATACAAACACCAATAACCACATAGAACAGTACTGCGATTTTGTATTTCATCCATTGAGTACACTATACGTTTTACAGGACCCGTTTTAAAATACTTTAATACTTCATTTGGCATTATCAACCTAAATGGATCAAAGTACTCATATAAACCATCTATATTACGGTAACAAACCCAGTGTGTTCCTGGCCCTGTTATATCATCCAGATTAATTATTCCACATTCTTTTCTAATCTTTTTTGGTAATCCATCATTACCTGCATATTCACCCGTTTTTGTTGCAGCTGTTGTCAACGCTTTTTCAGCTCCTTTTTTAGCAGCAGATTTTACTGTTTTTCCAAATAATTTTGAACCAATAGATTTAAACACATCAGTTATTCCTTCTCCGTAAATATGTTGTCTTGTAAATCTACCCAATTCAGGGTCTAATCTCTTTTTATACTCTGATTGTCGCATCATTTTATTTTAATACTTATATTAATGCGTTCCCCCAATCACATACTATGAAGTATCAAAGTCATAAACCAATCTATACCGTTGAAATTTACAGGTCTTCTAAGTGAGTCTGTAACGTAGAATCTCATTTCATCAATCTGAAATGAAGAGACATTACAGTACAATGGTCTTTTAGGTTCGAAACTAAAAGGATAAGACCTTGTGAGGTTATCAGTTGGTATCACAGCTATGGTATTTGTATTTATTCCATTTACAATACTATCATTTATTGCGGTTGTGTTGATATTTAACACATCAATAGAATTTGTGATATTTGGTAGTTTTGTCCCATACTCAGTTTTATTAACAATTTTCTTTTCAAAACCAATCAGGTCACCAAATTCTGTTCCTCTCAGATCAAGTTGATAATCACCATCGAGTGATACTAAAACACGATAGGTGGATAGAATAAAAGTTTGATTGATTGAGTACTTCTTTACTCCTTTAGAATCTGTTGTGTGGTGAGACTTTTGATCCATGTACTGATGAATGTAATCATTTATATCAGAGTAGGAATACATTCCATCTACAAAAGTAATTGTTTGCCAGGTGGAACCATCATGAGTGTATTTGATTTTATTGTTATCATAATCACTTCTAATGTTATACCAAGAATAAGTCATAGACAGCCGATTAAGAGCAAGTTGATGTTTTTTTTCAGGGTCAAGTTTCAAAGATGGGTTAAATTTGATAGTAAAATCACCAGGTCTGCTTGATCCTCTTTTTTCTCTGTTTATCGAAGAAATGTGAATAGCTCGTTCTTCCATTTTATCTCATAATTATATAATTTATACGCGGCGTAGCAAGCAGGGGGGTTTTGGGGGGATGCAATCCCCCCATTATAAATAAGTTTTTATTAGATCGTTCAGTTGTTTATTTGAGATTACTTTCATTTGGTTGAGAAGATGAGCTATTTGAGAAAACTCATTTATCACACCATTATTCCCAGCAAGAATTGATCCACCAAGTAGTTCAAGTCTGTCTAGAAGTTGATGTGGGTTGTTAAAGTAAATCATTCCAGAGCCAGATTTTGTTTTATAATACCTAAGATTACTTAGATTTGTTGAATAAATGCTTAATGTGTTATATTTTTTTATAAAATTTTTTGTGTTTTCACGTGGATGTTTATTTACTGGTTTAGCTATAAAATAACCGTTTGAATCACGTTCAAAAACAGCGGTATTTTTTATTGCTTTACTAGTATCTTCTAAATCAGTATTAACACCATCAATTAAATTATCTATGGTAGAAATATCTTCTTTTAAATAATAGGAAGGTAGATTATCATAACCATTCGATTTTAGTATATCTTGTGCTTCTTTACTCAATAAATATCTATCAAGGTCTTCAGGTGTAAATTTTGCTATTTTTGGTTTTTCATCTGATGTAGAGGGTAAAACTTCTTCGTCTTCTTTAGGCTCTTCAATCGCCTCAAAACCAGGTAATTGAGCCAAATCCCATTTTTTTACTTCGTCAAGTTTATCAAATCCTTCAGTTATAGCCATCCTGTTTTGATTAAGACCTTGTGTAAGAGCAAGTTGATTAGCTTTGAGTTGCGCTATAGTTGCGTTTTGTTGTTCGTCAATACTTTTTTTAATGCTATCTTGAGATTTAATAAGTGGTTTAAATGTCTCTTTAAATCCCTCTCTCATATCTTGTTTTTGCCATTTTGTTGTTTTTATAACATCTCTCACCTGTAGTAACAAATCATCTGCTTCTATTTTATCTCTCGCAAATTTTTTGGCTTCTGCTCTATCCATTTTATTTAATCAATAGATAAAATATAAGGGGAACCTACGGTTCCCCTAACACCCCTCCCTTTTAATTTTTATTTAATCATTAAATAAATGGAAATACCAAACTACGATAGTAACGATGACATTGATAAAAAATATAAACAGCTATATCCTTTTATGCCAGCGGATACGTTTAGGATGATAATTTGTGGAAACAGTGGAAGTGGAAAGACTAATTTGTTATATCATATGTTAATCAAACCTCTACTATATTACGATGAGATTTATCTTTACGCTCGTAATCTAGAACAGGATAAGTATCAAAAGCTAATTCAGAAAATGAGAGAGTTATCTTCTAAACTAGGATATGAAATACTTAATGTTAGTAACAATGAAATAATCCCGGTTACAGAAATGGATTACGAAGACAATCAAAAACTTGTAATATTTGATGATTACGTCTGTGATAAAAACCAGAGACAGTTAATAGATTATTTCATTCAAGGACGACATAAGAATTGCTCTGTGATCTATCTCAGTCAGTCGTTTTATAAAACTCCAAAGGATATTCGGTTGAATTGTTCTCACTACTGCTTGTATGAATTTCCTTCATCGAGGGAAGCAAACAGAATTTCATCTGAATTGGGTGTTGATAAAGAATCATATAGGGCAGCAACTAAAAAACCTTATTCATTTTTATACGTTGATAAACCAAAAAAACGTATAGCAAGAAACTTTACCCAAAATATACCCCTTCTAAATATATAATTATTAAATAAAAATGGGAATATTTAACGAACAATCGTTTGATCATCCTTTTGCTAAAGGTATTCCTGGTGCGCCAGGAGTAGGATTTAGTCTAACCGCGGATGGTAATTATGATATGAATAAAAAGAAACTCACAAATGTAGGTGCACCAAGTAATAATACAGATGCTGCAACTAAGAAATACGTAGATGATAATTCCAGTGGTTCGCCCTCGACATCAAGATTGACAGTTAATTCAAATATTGATATGAAAGATCAATTTCGTATTCTTAACCTCAAACAACCAGTTGACTCAGATGAGCCAGCCACAAAAAAATATTCTGATAGCACATTTCTTGATAGAAATGGAACTTACCCAATGAAAGGAAATCTTAATATGGATAATTATCGGATATTTAATTTACCAACTCCAACGGGTCCAAAACAACCAACACCATTAGCTTTCACAGAATTGAAATATCTCCACGTTTCTGGAACAAATAAAATGTTAAATAATCTAAACATGGATAATAAAAAAATAATTGGTCTCGCAACTCCTACATCAAACACAGATGCCGCAACCAAAAAGTATGTGGATGATGACGCAGGTAGCACAGATCTAAGTGATTACTTGAAAAAAGATGGTACTGTTGCTATGACAGGTAACTTAAATCTTGGAAACAAAAAAATAGTTGGTTTAGCAACTCCATCATCAAATACAGATGCTGCAACTAAGAAATATGTAGACGATGCCAAAGTAGATGGAAGTGACTTTTTAAAATTAGATGGAACAAGATCAATGACTGGGAATTTAAATATGGACCAGAAAAGAATAACTCTTTTAGGTGATCCTTTAGCGCCTCTTGATGCAGTGCCATTGTATTATGCTTCAACAAAGTATCTTAATCTTGATGGATCATTTGCTAAAATGACTGGAAATATAGACATGAACAACAATCGAATATTTAATCTTCCAGCTCCAAATAATAATAATCAACCAACAACATTAGTTTTCTCAGATACGAAGTATCTTCAAGTTGCTGGAACAAAAAAAATGACTAATAATCTAAACATGAACAAAAAAAAACTAGTTGATTTAGCATCTCCAACATCTAACACAGATGCCGCAACAAAAAAGTACGTGGATGATAATTCAAGTGGTTCGTCCACAACATCAGGATTAACAGTTAATTCAAATATTGATATGAAAAATCAATATCGTATTACAAATCTTAGCACACCACTGGATGGAAAAGAACCTCCTACTAAAGATTATGTAGACAATACATTTCTTGACAGAGATGGTTCTTACCCAATGAAAGATAATCTAAACATGGATAATAATAAAATAATTAAACTTGCTACTCCAACAGCTAATGATGACGCAGCAACCAAAAAGTATGTGGATGATAACACAGCTGCCCCAGATCTAAGTGATTACTTGAAAAAAGATGGTACTGTTGCTTTGACAGGTAACTTAAATCTTGGAAACAAAAAAATAGTTGGTTTAGCAACTCCAACATTAAACACAGATGCCGCAACCAAAAAGTATGTGGATGATAACGCAGGTGCCCCAGATCTAAGTGATTATTTAGAAAAAGATGGTTCAGTCACTATGACTGGGAACCTTAATGTTGGTAATAATAAAATAACACATCTTAGTAAGCCAACCCAAGACAATGAAGCAGCAACCAAAAGTTATGTTGACAATCTAGTACAACATGCCACAATACAACCAAGTCATTACAAAGACCAGTTTGCTTATCTAATGACAAGCGCATCTCAATGGACTGATGAAATAGATACCAGGACTAGTTTTGTTATAAAAAGCACAGGAGATTTAGGACCAAAAAATGGAAATTTTCATGATTATAACCTCAAAGTTATTAAAATGGGAATAAATAAAGATTCACAAGGAGGTTATAAGTATAAAATGGGAATCAACTTTTACAGGTTAACTAAAAATACTGATTACACACTGTGTTTGGAAATACTTAACTCTGAATACGCTCTATGGCATAAGTCCCAAATAAGCGTAGACAAAGGAAGTTCAACAGGATTATCAATTGGTAATGTTAGTATAAGGAAACTTTCCCATAGGTATATACAATCAAATGGGACTCCAGAATTTATGTATTACCATAGAATAATAGTCAATTTCCGGAAGTTGTCAACTGGTAATAAGTTCTTTCTTCATTTTTTGGTTAATATACCACAAGATGGAATTGACTTGGCTGTTTATCCTAACCAGTTTCTAGGAGTTTATATAATTGCTTATGGAATTGTAGGAACATTTAGCAATATCGATCCAGATAAAGTTTATGACTTTCACACCGCGTATGATATCAAACCAACAGAAGTGACGTACAATGTTGATATTAATGTAAATCAACGTTCAATCAAAGGTATTAAACTTGATCCAAATGACAAAAGCAGTGCTGCCACAATGGGGCAGATTGAGGCCATGACCAAATTTACTATAAACAATCTTTATAGAAATTATTTTCAAGAATTTTATGACTTTTCTAATGCGGATAGTTATGGAATAAATATAGGTTCATCTGGAGTTATTATTAATTCTGTAGAGCCTAATATTACTCTACCACCAAATAAAGACCTAGATGAAATAAAAAAAGATGGTTTAAATGTTAATGGTTACGATGTTACTTTTTCTCCTACACATTCTTCGAAATCTACTTTATGTATTGTTTTTACTCATTGGAGAAATAGGAGTTTTACCCTAACTAAATATTTATCAACAAACAATAATATTTTAGTAAAATTAAACTATGATAAAACAAACAATAAAGTAACTTTAACTGTCAATAGAGCAACTCAAAATTTTACCATGCTAAGTGAATTTAGTGGAAAAATAATTGTATTATGGCTAACAGAAAATTTTGATTCAAATGTTACAAAAGTTAAAATAAGTAACTATAGCGCAACATCAACTATACCAGCCGTTCACTACGATGTTAATCAACGTTGGAAGTTTACAACTGAAGATGGAGTGTTAAATAAATTAATGTACTCTCCAAACTTTTACGATGACGACTCTGAGCAATATCATAAAGTAATGATTCAAGAAAAGTTAAATGGAAGTTATATAGTTTAAGGGGGTTAATGATTCAAGAAAAGTTAAATGGAAGTTATATAGTTTAAGGGGAACCTACGGTTCCCCTAACACCCCTCCCTTAGCTACGCCGCACTAATATAAACAAAAGAATAAAATGAAGGATAAAATGAAGGATATCTTTGAATTTAATCACATTGATAAATCTCTCTCAGAATCAGATATTGGTACACTAAAAGATTTTTACAAACATTATCACAAAAAATACTGGTGTTTTAAAAAGTGTTATAAGAGTTATAAATTTCTTGATGATGTATTTACTATCTCTGGAATAACTCTCGTAGCCATAGGAACTATTACCGGCGGGATAACACTAAACCCAGTTATTCTTGGAGTTATAAATGGCGCTGGGATCATTGTAGCGGGTATCGGAAAGAAAAAAAATCTCAAGAGAAAAATTGAAATGTCAAAGATAGCATTTACAACTTATGAAAAAGTGCTCGTTGAACTGAGATCAGCTCTTCGGGGAGATGAATTCAACAAAGATGATTTTATTGATCGAATGAAGTTGATAGATGAAATGATAATTGATCAATCACCAATCGCGGATAGATTTGCCAATAGATACAATAACAAATTTTCTATATAAGCATAAGATAAAAATGATACGCGAAATTGTTGATTACGTTAACACTCATTTTCCCACTTATAAAACACAGTTTTACCCAGATAACTTTATCAAAGCTTGTCTTGTTTATCAGTATCTTTACGCAGAGCACTTCCAAGATAAATTGGATATAAGCCAAATTATTTATAAACTATCAGGAGATAGATACTCTTTAATGACAAAATCGCCTACAATAGCCAATCATTTAATATTCAATCTAGGCTTCAAATCTTTTTGGAAAACTTATAGAATAGGCAGAGGTTGTGTTTACGTTGTAAATACGCCATTTAAGGAATCAGAAGTACTTGGTTATTTGATAGGAATAATTTACTGGATCTTCCACAGTGGAGTAATGTAATTCTATATTAAAATTTAATATAGAATTTTAGTTACGTAGTTTATTATAATTATCCCACCATTTATTATAATTTTCTAAAGTTTTGGAACTAATCTTTAGACGGACTAGTTTACTCTTTTCGCTTCCCATTTCTTTGAGAATTTGTTTGATTAAATAGTTGATATTTATTATTCTTTTACGACAAAATTGTTTGTTTAATTCTGTCTTTAGGTTATTATCAATGTTCATTAGTCTATTGTACAGTTCGCACTTTTCATCCTCATTTAGGTTATTCTTTTAGAAATTTGATTCACCTTTTTCTCATAATAATATTTACACTGATATACGCTCTTCTTTTGAAAGTGGAATCTATCATACTCTTTAATGTCGTAATAACCGAGAACATGGCCATTTGTTGTACCACAGTTTTCACAAAGATGATAACCTGAATCTATAATAAAGGAAGGAGAATCACAGCATAAGGCGGGGGGAGTGCCTCCCCCCGAAACCCCCCTGCTGTAGCTCCTGAGTATTTCTAGATATTTTTCTATTTCTTCTTTTGAGTAGGACATTTATTTTTATTATTTTTTTATTATTTTTGTTTATCTTAAAACTGATGTTATATAATAAAATTTGTATACCAGTCCATTTTTTTTTGTTGTTTTACGTTCTTTTCTACAAACTGTTGCTATGCAAGACAAACTAATTCCAAGGGTCTTAGAAGCTTCTGTAACACTTTTATAAATATGTAATTCTTTTATTTCAGTGTTAAATGATATTACTTCTTTATTATAAGATTTTCTCTTATTTTCCTTTGGGGACAACAACTGCAAATTCTTAATATTGTTATTAATCTTGTTATTATCAATATGGTCAACTTGCTTATCTTTTGGTATAATTCCATAAAAACACTCGTAAACGTATCTATGAACTGAATATTGTTTACTTTCAGATTTATTGCTAATAGTAAAAAATAAATAACCTTTAGGACGTTTTTGTAGTTTTAATATTTTGTTACTCTTTTTGCTATATATTTCTCCTTCTTTACTACTATAATAATCACAATAAAAAGGATGGGAAAAAAATTTAGTTTTTTTGTATACAAACGCATACATGTTTGTATAATTTATATTTTATTAAATTTTATTAATTTAAACTTTTTTTACCTGAGAGCCAAAGTATAAATTTTGTCCTTCAAGATAGTCCTTTTGACATCATCATTACTTAGTGCTATTTTATTTACTTCTTTTGAATAAATATCATGATTCTCACTTCTTATAATTTTCATACTTCTCATTTGTTTTTTACCCGAAAATAAACATTGGACGTAGTCATCAAAACCCATTGATTTTTTTACTACGTTTTTCTTAATTCCTTTACATTTCTTTGTTGTTTTATCCTCTTCTACTTTGAAACTGTAAAGTTTTGGACGAAGACCTACAAAGTGAGTGATTTGTTTTCCTGCTACTTCATCTTTAAACATTCCTATTACTTTTTTGTTAACTCCTGTTAGTATTCCAGAAGGATGATTAGATGGGTAATCAGATGTGTCAAACTTAGTTTTTATATCAAGGGAAATATCCTTGTAAAAATCATCTGTGTGAATATGGTACATCAATGAGTCTGTATCTGTAAACAATAATTCAGCTTTATTTTCGTATTTCTCTCTGATGTATTTGTAGTGGAAATCAAACATCAATGTTTTAGACAAATCTAAAATTGCTTGTCCAACATATACTGGTTTGTTAAAATACACTTGTGTCTTTTTCATATGAACAGCGATAAGATTTTCAACAAATATTGTAGATCTTTCAAAATTTGGTTTACTTACTAATTTTGCGGCTTTCTTTCGATCATCCACGAGTTCTACATTCTGTCTCTTTCTTATGTTTTCTATTGTTTTTCCAAACACTGAATTGTTCATCAGTTTAAAAAAGTCTTTCTCAAAACTGTTGGCAGCTGTTTTTCTGAGTTCAGTATTTTTTCTTATATAAGGCTCCATCCAAGGACTTTGTTTAAAAGATATTCCTCTATGAACTTTAGTAATCCTCATTCCCATCTCAAGATACTGCCTTAGATTTCTATAATGTACAACGTAGTTTTTTCTTTTTTTAAAATGGCAAATCAGTTTTTCAACTCCATTAACTTTAATCTTCTCAGGTGCAAGAGGATAATCATTATGTGATTTCCTTAGATCACGAGGATATTCCAAATCTACTTCAAATATAAAACCACGGGGGGAGTGCCTCCCCCCAAAACCCCCCTGCTTTTCTAAAATTTTTATAACAGTTTCTTTTGTTAGATTTCTCATCCATTTAAATCCGTGAGTAGGAAGTGATTGAGACATTGCCCAACCGTAAAGATTATTCGCATCTAAATATTGTATATAAGTAGTCTCCTTATCAGGATTATAATTTTTCATATATTTGTTATTCGCTTCTGCGTATCTTTTTGATATGTGTGATATCCCGCCGCGAATACCGCGCTCAAACATCATCAACATATCATAATTGCTCAACAGCTGTAATTCCTGCCCTGTTTCTTTAAGGCATGCATCCCAAGCTAGACCAGGGGAGGTGTAATAATGAGCAGGGTCTAAATTGTAATGTTTGAGGCAAGTTTTTCTGAAATTCTCAAATACATCTGCCAAAAGTATGACGTCAGACTTTAGGTAAAGGTCGTGATAATCTCTAATAGTTTTACAATCGAACGTGTGCCACACTTTTTTCGCGTGTATGTGGTCATCGTCTGTTATATGCTCGTCGTTTAATTTGGAATAAAATTCTTCTTTAGGAGGTAATTTTGTTTCAGATAGTTTTTTGATAGAGGAAACATAATCATACGGATAAACACCTTTACGAGTTAGTAAGTTTACATTTTCCTTAAATATTTCTTTAGTATTATGGAAATCTTCTGGTTGTAAATTTGAAACAAGATTAGCAAGTGATGTTTGAAGAAACTTGAACGAATCTATGAAACGAATTTCAAAATACAACGACACCATTTTTTTAGTGCGATTAGATAAATACTCATCTACCTTAATCTTTTTAGAAAAGGATATATATTTTTCTTCCGTTGAAGGAATACAGTTTAATTTACCTGGTAAACTTGCGAGTTGTTTTATAAACAAATGAGCATCATAACCTTGAAGATTGTGAAATATAACTGGAAGAATCATTGGTTTGCGGCAATTAAGATTACATTTATTATGAGCTGCTCCTCTGTATTTACCGGTAAAATGACAATGATCTCTAACTTTGTCATATACTCCTTCCTCAGTTAGTAAATCTTTTTTACAAACATGACAAATTTTTGCTTTATCAAAAGATTTTAGTTCTTTTCTTGAAAAAATAATAGGAACTGGTCTACAATAAAAATCTTCGTAAATTTTATTTGTTACTTTTGCAATTTTATTAACAAATATTTGAGCTACGTTATCCTCACTATTCTTTTTTGTGTAAATAATTGGTTTAAACTTAGTATCACATATTCCTTTAATGTAAAAACAGAAACCAGACGGCTCGTGTTTTTGATAATTATAGTTATAAGAATCTTCTGGATTAGGGGAACAAGTACTTAGTGGTTTAGTAAAACATTCAAAATCCGCATAAACTACAAAAGGAATAGGAAATTGATTTTGGTAATTTTTAAAAGCCAACATTGTGTTTTTTGGTGGCATTTTCACAGAAACTGAGTCATTATTAGCGCAATATTTTATATGTTTTTCTAATAATTCTTCTTTTGTGAAATGAGTAAAACATCTCTTACATATTAGAATAGGCTCATTAGTTCTCGATGTTATTTGAGAACGAAAAAGACGAGAAAAGTTTTTAATCAGAGAATAATGACATTTCCCATTCTCTTCATAAAGAAATAAATCCACAGTTTTACAAGGATCACGTAGCGCCATTCTTAACGGATAAAATTTATTCTTCTCATTAACTGAAAATACATTTATACCAGGAATATTAGGATTAAGGGTTTCAAATTTAGTAATATCTCTGACTTTAACTGGAAAAGTAATTCCCTTGGTTTTAAGTTCTTTCTCATACTTCTTAAGATCTGCCAAACGGAAACCATTCTTCTCTCTTGGATAAAGATAACGTAGTACAGACCACAAAAAACATTTATTATCTTTATTTTGTATATTAACAATAGCATTTTTTTTCTTTATCCAATCAGGAAGAGGAATATATGAAGAACCTCCCGCCGGATTTAATTCGTCAGTAAGAATCTCTAAATGAATTACTTCTTTAAAATACCAATTACTTCCGTTTTGTTGGTATATATTTATCTTTTCAAGAATGGAACGAATAGCTTTTTTAAGTATTTCTTTTTCATCTGTTGCCTCAATATTAATGTATTTATCAGAATGAAAATAACCTTTATCCTCAATTTTTTTCATAAATTCACCACTTCCTTCCTTTTTTTCCATTAAACAAACCAATACAAAACTAAATTTGATGTTTCTATGATTTCTAAAAAAATCCTTTAATTCTTCTCTCTTACTTCTAAAAAATTCCAAAGGTAATAACCCAGATTCACCCTTAATTATGTACTTATTAGAAAAATCTTTCAAAGCTGTTTTTTCTCTTATTATTCCTCGATTATGCTCCTTAATCGCTCTCTCAAGAGCTTTACGTAAATAAGGAGGAGTATCTTTTGGTATTTCTTTATTTTTAATACATTCTTGGAAATAATCATCGAATGTCTTGATTACTTTTTTGTGTTTTTTACCTGGTAATTTTTTTCTTTTTTTAATATTAACACCTTTTTTTATTTTCTCATTTAGTTTACGTACTTTTCTAATATCACGAATTATTTTTTCTTTTTCAGTTAATTCTTTGTAATTTTTCCTTATTATTTGTTTTTCCTGGTTCAATATTTTTTTAATTCTGCCAATGATAAACTCTTGTACTCTTTATCAGTTTTAAGCGATTTTTGTGCCATTTTCCTTTATAATCTTAATATATTATTTCCTTTAAATCAATTTTATTTTTCCGAAACGATTTTGATGACAGATTTAATCAATTTAATTACATAAATTAATCAAGAAAATATAAAATTTGCATTTTTTAGAGTACAAAATTTTTTAGTCTAATTCCGTCATTGAAAAATTGGTGGGTAAATGACAGAAAAGATTGGAGTAATGATTCCACTGGATAAAGGCGAAGGTGCTGTTAGACCAATAGGAGTCGGAGAAGTTTTAAGGAGAATTTGTGGAAAGTGTGTAATGAGTGTTGTTAAGAAGGATGTTGTCGATGCCAGCGGCTCACTCCAGCTGTGTGCTGGACAAAAGTCCGGAAGCGAAGCTGCAATACACGCTATGCATACTATATTTGAATCAGATGACACTGATGCCGTACTTCTCATCGACGCCTCTAATGCATTCAACGCACTCAACAGAGCAGCTGCACTGCACAACATCCGGATTCTGTGTCCTATAATAGCAATTTACGCTATTAATACCTACAGACAGCCAGCTCGGCTATTTGTCATTGGTGGGAAAGAGATCGTGTCAGCAGAAGGAACAACACAGGGCGATCC